GACTCCTCAATCTACATTTTCACTGACTACCTGTCTTGTATGCATACCAGCCCAGCTGCTGGCTTCTTTACTTTTCATTCCATCCAGGAAGAGCACACACCAACTGCTGACACTTCCTTAGCCTGACGAAGGGTTTTTGAACCCAAAAGCTTGCTTAATAATTATTTTCCAACTATTTGGGTTGGTCTAATAAAAGATATCAGATTCACCCAAGGAACCTTGTCTGCCTATGTTCTTAGACCAACACGGCTACAACCTACACCCCTGTAAGCAAGCATCTCACTTTTTTCCCTCAGAGGAAGCCTTTTGTTCCAGAATCCTACAGATGCATAAATCCATTGTCTTGCTTTAAGTATCCGTGAAGTTCCCGAGATAAAATGTGCTAACACTTTTTTCCCCTGGGACAATGCTGTGCATGTCTTTAAACTAACTGCCATTCATCCTAGGTACAAGCCTATCAGAGGAGCAGCAAGGGTTATGTATATAAAGGGATATTCTGCTCCTCTTTCATCCCAGGTTTTAACTCAGACATGGGCAGACCCAGGAGGAGTGCACTCCCCCCCATCCTACTTTTATTATATTTCACCCAAAATTTAAAACCAGCTGCCTGGCAGTGGCAGAAACATTTCTAGTCAGGCAGCACTAAGGCAGTCAATTGACTCCGTGGCTCATTATAATCTTCTGGATCCCTTCTGAACTCTTCCTTCCACAGGAGTTAATGACCCTCTCTGGTCTTTGTTCTCTAGTTCTGCTGTTGACTGCTCCTGAAGCTCCTGTTTCACCACTCTGCAGGTTGCTTTTAACTCACTCCAATTAAGTTCTATTTATTTTTGCTTCAATCTTAAACTGCATCATACAGCTCTAAGCTTCTAGCATATTAGTAAAGCTTCTAGTTTATTTTTAACTGGAAAAAATATGTGTTGTTTCGTACATGATGCACCCACCATCTGCACCCCCCTTTTCAAAATTCTAGATCCGTCCATGAACTCAGCTCAATCTGGACTGCCTCAAATGAGTCATCTCTTTATAGCCTGTTTCTCTTTGTAGATTATAAACAAAGAGAATGCAGGCATTTATTCTCTCCCATTTGCCTTGTGCACCTTTTATCTGCAAGCTTAATTCCTAGTGTAGGTTTTATATATGATTTACAGGAAGAAGACAGAGACCCAAATGTGGATACATCTAATGTTTTGCAAGAAACACTAGCACTAAAAAAACCCAGCTATGAAGAAAAGAGGATTAAAAGAATATGTTTCAAACTTCATTCTTTCTCTTCTCAATATACTTCCTCGCTACAGTCATCAGATCCCTGATTATTTTAAGCCATCTTGTGTGGGCTCCTAGAGTTGTATTTAAATGATCCTTTCTTTGTAGGTGCTGGCAGATCCACAAAACAGCTGTTAAATTCTCTGACAAATATTAAAGTGACATTGGTACATGCTTAAAGTTAAAATACTGTTGTTAAATTGGGAGGTTCAAATTATGCCTTGTTCTTATGCAAATATACAAGGGGTCTGACAGTAGTCTTGTGCTTTATGAAGGCACTGATGATGGGGTTGGGCTGTGGTGCCACTCTACTTATCACCTATCAATAAAGCTAGCAATGTCCAGAGCACAGCAGGGCTGCCATTGTATTTTTAGTCAAGAAGGATAAAATGCTAAATCTACATCTAAACCAACTGTTGTCAATCAGACTCGTAGTAGGGTGCTATTAAAGGTTTGGAGGGAATGATTTTATTTACTGGTAGAGTAGAAGTGAACATACAGGAAGCAATGTTAAGGGTGTCTAATCTGGACAACGAAGCAGGCCTCCTGGATTTAATTTCTTCTCCTATCTGAAGGCTACATCAGTTGTTGCATGGATAATAGAGCCTTTTCTTTTCCATGTAGTTTTTCTGCATCCTGCCTTTGAAGTCATTTCATTAAGAACGTTCGTTCTATACAGGACAATTAGGGGTACCTTCAAGGTAATCCAAAAATACCTGTTACCGTGAAGCATAATTCATCAACATTGCAAAGACATTCTAATTTCTTGTTGATCATGGGGTACCATTTTTGCACCTCCTCTTACAATCTGTAACTTAGAAGTGTGAAGCTGTTGATTTTTAAATCATTCTTTAAAGTACAAAATGCTGCAAATCTTTAAAATTAAAATCAGAGAAGGAACCTTCACCTTTTTTTAAAAAGCAGTCTGGATATATTGAAATTCTTGCCCTGCAGAAATCAATGAGAGTTTTCTTTGATTTCACTGGGCTAGGACTTTCATCTGTCTCTTTTGATGCCTTCAACGTTATAAAAAAGCCAACTAGAAATGTATTCCCTAAAGGGAAGAGAGTTGTATGAATGAAATCTAGAGGTACCACAAATTGATTTCAGGAAAAACAACTACTAAAATAAGAGCTATCCCTGTTTTCTTCTATGTTGTCTTTCTGAGATTTGCTTTCTTGAGGCAACCATTTCACAGTGTGGCTGTTTCTCTTCCCTCAGTGCCAGCTGCTGCCTGTGGTTGTCCACATGGATTCCTCTCGGTACTATCAGGAGGGCTAACCAAGGCAATTTGACATCATCTCTCTGATTACACTTGAAGAGAGTTTTAAAATACTTCAGTAAAGTTCAAACAACCAAGGAAGACACTAAAGAACACTAAAGCTCAAACATCCAAGTTATACAGGCTGTGGGAAAGCCACCTACAATGGCAGAAGATTGGATCCCAATTAAAAAAAAAAAATGAAAATTCATTCTCACCATGTGTAAATGCTAGAGCTGCAATCCACATGCTCTTTTATGACAGGGGTGACCAACCCATTACATACATGCCACAGTGGTGTTGGGCAGATACTGTTTGGCATGTGGTAGAGGGTGAGGGACTCGGGGAGTAGGCATGGCTAAACTTGTGGCACTCCTACCAAAAAGGTGGGCCACCACCAGAGGTGGAACTGGCCAAGACTCCTGGATAGTCATCATCCCCTTGCACTTCCCTTGTAGACCTGGCTCTGGTAGCTTTGACAGCAGGAAAAACAGCAGAGGTAGCTGGGGGCAGCAGTTGGGGGTTTGCTGATGCTAAGGGGAGATGCCACCTCATTATTTTTTTTTCTTTTGCTGCAGACCTGTGTATTCAGTGGCCAAAGAAACCAGTGGTTTTCAGCTGCAAAAAATGAGGTGCTAACTCCCCTTCACACACAGCAGAAACTAAACTTCCCAGTATATCCATCATGGACACATGTATATGCTCTCCTGCTGCTGGTCTACCGTCCCTCTGCTGGACCTGGAGCGGAGGGGTGAGAGGGCTGCTCCTCCATTCTGATCCTTCCTCCTCTTCTTAAGCTGGGCCTGGGGCTCATGCCCTGCTTGCCCACTCATCCTTATACTCCTGGCTACCACTGCTCCATGAGGTGTTTTTATAAATACCACGCTGACTTTTTTACATTAAACAAGAACCTAATTTTAGCTCTCCATAACAGGATGAAAACATGAGCAAAAGGCAACTGACTCATTTAATTTCTTTTTGGTTTGCAAACTTTTCCCTGTAGAAACTGACAGCAGTTTGGGAACCATTCATATTGTTTCACAGGTGTTATTTTCCCCTCCTCCTTTGAGTATATTCCAGTGCTTGAAAATATTCCCTAGTGGAGACAGCTTGGAGTTGATCATTTGGAGTTCGAAGGTTATACCCTTCAGGCAAAACAAAATGTTTGTGTTGATCTAAACAACAGTGGAGCATAAAAATGATTTCCAAACCTCACAATTTACTCTTCTGTCTTAAATAATCAGGAACTACTATGTTGTCCTCAAAGTATATGTTTTGCTATCTCAAGTCCTCTTCCCTACCCCTTTTCCTGCCCTTGTCTGTCATTCTACCCCATGTCATCTTATTGAATCATGGCAGTAAATTCAACGTGTCTTAAATATAATAAATTTAATGGGTTATGATACACTTGTGATGATCAGAAAATAATAAAATGAAGGACTGTAGGTGATTTGATCACTGTGTTTTGGCTTCATTACTACTTGGTGTATTATCTGTTATGATCTAATGTTTTCTATTAATACCTTCAGAAAAATGATCAGCACACGAGTGAAAAATGCAATCCACATTGTTACCCCAGGAACATCTCTTTCTCTAACAACTTGTAAACAACATTTTTAAAGATGTGGTACTGGGCAGTTCCTAACGCTTATTGGATGAGAGAATAAATATTCTACAGAATGACCAAACTGCCTTTACAAAGGGTTGGTACAATTTATATGTTCTTAATTCTAATATTCCTTTGGCCAAACTCTACAACATTTGGGGAATTTTAGAGTTCCTGTGGTGCGCCTTCTGGTTGTTGACTGCTAATTGGCCTTGATGCATCAAAATCACAAACTTCTGTTTGGAGGCCTTCACTGGCAGTTAGACAAGCAAAAAATAATTCAGCCTGCAATGGAAACTTCTTACTCTCCTTGCTAAAAGATTTTATAGTTTTCTCTTTTTTAGACTTATTTAAAGACTTATTCAACTCCTCCAATATTTCCAGAACAGCTACAAAAGCTATGTGTGCGTACCTATGTATAGTGAAGATGCACCTGAGTGCTTGAGAAAAACACATTGACACTACACCCCAATCACTCCAATTCCATCTGTCACCTCTTGCATCTGTGCCTGCAGCTTACTGTTTGGGGCCTTTGTTGAGGAATTAAGAGATTTGCTGTCTCGATTTCCCATGTAAGCTTTTCATTGCTTGGTGGTGGTTAGGGATATCTCTTCCTGTGGTTGATATCTACTAGTAAAATTTGATTGGTAGTCTTTGTGAAACTTACTTTACCTCCCAATGGATAATAGTCTATATATAAATGCAAAAAAAGAAAAAGTGGATATTGAAAAATAAAGTGTGGGGCACAATAACAAAAGCCCTTCAAGAGGTCTCACAACAATGTGCTTACTATTTGTATTTTATGCTGTCAATCTAAGTCTAATTGCTAGGCTGAAATGGGAAGAAATACAACAGTGAGAGAACTGCTCACCACTACACATTTTAAAATTAAGTTAGTGTTGGTATTTCTTTGCTTATGGTGCAATAGAACAAGTAAAAGTTGTGGAGATATTAAGTCAGATCTCTCCTTTGTAGGCATATGGATGTGCTCTGGGGGGAGTGCTTTAATTAGAATGGCTCTGAGAGTGGCTTTAATTAAAGTACTGCAGTGTCTCGTGTATCAGCATCTCAATGCTTCAAAATGGTGGTGGGGGCACTTGAACTAAAGCTCATTCAACATGCTTTAGTTTAAGTGCCCCTGCCCCCACTTCGAAGTATGGGGATGCTGATACACAAAATGTGGGAGGTTGCTTGAGTGCTGTAATTGCCACACTCTAGCAGACTTAATTAACTGAGCCTGCTCTGATGCACTGTAATTAGTGTGTCGGAGCAGCCTCTACCCTTGCACCGCAGGAGTTAAAGGAATTAGAGTGTTAGGCTCCAAAATAGAATTTAAGTAGGGCTAACTTGGGACTTCTGTGACATTTAGTTGCTTGAGTTCAAAAATGGCGTTTCTGAAAATCCTCACTCACTTGCTGTATGGACCTAAAAGTGCTTGACCTTCCTACTTGAGTTTGGGTATTAAAGTTCCCATGAAATGAGAAGTTGTGCTTCTGGCCATACCCAGAACTGCCCCAGGCTTGATAGGGCTGAGCATTTTAGTACCTAGCACAGCTTCAACAGGAGGTGGTGGGAGGAAGGGAAAGTGCTCCTTCCTCCCTACTATCCTAGAGTGTTTAGAGCACAATATTGGGAAGCAGGAAATATGCATTTAATTCCTCTAAAGCTGATGAGGAAATGGAACCTGGGTCTACCTTGGCCTGCTGGTTAAAACCCTCTCCTGGGGTATTAAATAAATATGATTGTGGGGAGTGATACCACCACAGCCATGTTACACTTGCTGAATCCTGCTCTAATGTTTCAAAAAAACATGTAGGCACTTACCTTTGGAAGAGATTTCTGGACTATGGGTCCTTTGCTCAGCACATTGGCAGTTTACTACTCCTACCTCTTCCTATGTACTTTGCTTCCAGACAGAGATCCTAGATTCCACTCCAGGGGTCAGATGACTGAGGTCCTTCATGAGGCCTTAGGTGCTCAACTCTTACCAAATTGTGATGAATATATTATAGATTCAGAAATTTCATAGAATCATAGAGAAGTCAGGCTGGAAGGGACCTCCAGAGGTCATCTAGTCCAACTCCCTGCCTAAGGCAGGATCAGCCCTATCCAAACTATCCATACAAACCATAGTCTAAACTCTACATAAGATTACTATTAAGTCTGACACAATATAGACCTAACACCCTAACCTGCCATAGGTAAAGCAGGGGGACCATGACATCCAATGTCCTGCTTCTATAAAATATTATCAATATGTGCTCAAGAGGTCTCCAGTAGAGGGCCATGGCCCCAACTTGAGGAAGGCAAAATCCTTCACAGTCCATACCAATCTGACCATGGGAGAAAATTCTTTCCTTTCTCACCATCATTTCTCACTTGCTTTTTTAATGTAGAGAGGTGCACAGAAGAACTGAGGTCCTAACTCTGTTCAGTTCCTTTGCAAATCCCAGCCTAGTTATTTTATAGGTTGCAGGCAAAATCCTGGATCTGTTAAAGTTAATAGGAGTTTGGCTTGTGAAAGGCGTTTATGATTTGGCCCTTTAATGCTATTAAAGCATTCTCAGGGTTTTCACATTTTAAGTGCGCAACTTATATAAAAGTAAAGTCAGCTGTCTCTATAATGTGTGACCAAATGCATTCCCATTAAACTATGTGCTCCAAAGGGTACCAATGCTTTTTAAAATGTGTAGTGCAAATCAGAATTGGGAAACACATGTACAGTGAAATATGGGATTCAATTCTCTAGTGTCAATATGTTCTCATTTTCATGATTTGACATTTTTGATATTAAGATCCCAGTACTAGTATTATACTAGTAACAATTACTATTATAATAGTAATAGCACATAATAATTATCTGTGGGAATTCCAGTTAATTGTTAAGGCTGTGTGTAGCTTTAGTCCCTGATTTGATTCGGTGGCTGAAGCAAATCAGGAGACCCTTTAATGTCTCTGAATCGGTTCGGAGAGATTCCATGATTTGGCCATAGACACAGCTTTAAATGTTTTTTCTACATACCTCAAGGTACCAGGCGGCTCGTGAATGCTTCAACGCTGGAGCGGATAGAGCGTCCCACAGGAGCACAGGGGGCTCCCCAGTGCGCTCGGCAGCAGACCCAGTAGTGGACCAGAAGTGCTTCGGGTCCACCTCCAGGTCCGACGGGGAGTGTGCCAGGGGGCCCGCCCACAACCCCCCTGGCTTGGCGACTGGTGCTTTCTGGGTCTGGGGGTGGGCACCCAGGGTCCCCCTGCAGCCGATTGCCGAGCTGGGGGAGCGTGGGGAGACCCCACAGCGTGCTCCCTGGCAGACCTGGAAGCGGAACAGAAGCTTCTGGTCCACTTCCAGGTTTGCTGGCGAGCATGCGAGCCCCCATCCCGCCCGCACTTCTGTGGGACGCTCCATCCACCCTTGCATCCCAGCATTCATGAGCCGTGCCTGGTTTCTTGAGGTATGTAGAAAAATATATGCCAGCAAAGTGGGAGAGATGCTGTAGTTGAATATCTGTCACTGTATTCTGTTCCTCCCAATGTGCACAGGTGAATTGCTAAAAAAAAATTTAATCCCTTATGGATGGGTATGTTTGTATAAGTCAGGGGTGGCCAACCTGTGGCATAGATGCCAGAAATGGCCTGGCCAGCCTGTGTGTGTGGCAGATCAGGGAGAGGGCAGGCAGCACAGCAGCAGATAGGGCAGGAAGTTGAAAGCAGAACAGCAAATGGGACAGGGAGCACAGGGAAGGAAACAGAAAGCAGAGCAGCAGATCAGGCAGGAGAAAGGGACTGGAGTGGCACTTGGGGAGTGTGAGAGGCTAATCAGTGACACACCTGCCAAAAAAGGTTGGCCTCCACTTGTGTATGTAGTGCATTCTGTCTGTAGATGAAGACAGCTCTGGGGTAGAACAGCAGCTAATTATAGCTCAGCATAAAGTACAGGTGTGACCAGTCAAAAATCTCTACTTCAGGGGTTTTTAAACTTCTTTGGCCAGTGTGCCCCCAGTGGCTGGTCGAGAAGTGGGAGGAGGGCGGTCCCCCACACGCCCATGGGACCCCGCCCCTCTGGTCGTTGATTGGCCGCTTCTCTATGCCACTTCTGCATACCCCCTGCAGCCTTCCCAAGTACCCCCCGGGGTACACATACCCCCAGTTGACAATCCCTGCTCTACTTCAATGGTAAACATCAGGGGGTAACTTTTTATTTACTTAGACCTATTTTTTGTCAATCAGAAGTCATTCCTCCTTCATCTAGTATGCAAATAACACACTCACGTTCTTTGCGCATGTACAGTTCTTACCTTTACAGATAATAAACAGATAATAAAATCCTTTTTCTCATTTGATTAGCTCGTAGGTTAAAATGACACTGTTAGTGTTTTAAAATTGAAGTCTCATTGAATGAGAGATGTCAGAGAGTGGAAGAAAACCCCTTCATTCTCAAAGCCATATGGCCATGAAACTCTTTGCAAATTATTTTCCTTTACATTTCTTTCTTTTATGTTACCAGTCAAAATGAATAACTTCACAATACTTGGTTAGTATTAATCTGTCACTGTTTCTTGCTTTTTCCTCTCTTAAATCTTACCATATAGAGACATGTGATATTAATACCTATTTTTTTTTCATTTCTATCCTTCTCTCATATATGTAGTAGTGTGCAACCGTCAATCCTTCTCCATCATAGTGTCTGTGTGAGAGGTCACCAGGATATATATAAACAAGGAATCTACCACTGAACTACAACAGCGGGTGTTCCCATATATTAAACAGCCAAATTATATTAATATTTCTATGGTGTAGGTAGAGTTGTTATTGTGTATAGAATTTTGGAATAAAAACCTTTTAATATTAAGTTTGATGCTTAGCAACTACATAACTTTTAAAGAATGTTTGCAGAAGAAAGAGGATATTATTAATTTTGTGATAAAAGATTTGCACTGGGTAGATGTGCCTTCTACTTGGAATATTTATTTACTGCAGCCAATAAGGTATGGCTCTCTAGTGATGTTTCTTGGATCTAAGCCACTTTTTAAACCTTGTTTACGGCTATATAGTTATGTTTAGGTACAGACACTAATATTGTGAAATACAGTCTGCTTTAAGTTTGTCCCTTTTACAGTTCTTACTAGCACATTTATTGCTAATAATAATTCTAACACACACTGCAAATGCAGATGTTTTACAGACAGCTCTTCCTTATGTGAATTGTCCAACTGAAGTCAATAGGGCTATTCATTATGCAAGTAAAGGTTTCATACTTGAGCGTGTGGAACAGGCACCCTCAATGGTAATGCTTTTTTGCAGGAAATGGATTTGGGGGCTTTCATGTGAAACAAGCTGAATTATGTTAGTTATGCTTAGTTAGTTATGCTTCTGGCACCAAATAAGTTTTGCAGCTGAACAAAACTCCCCTGTGCCCTAAGGGGAGGTTGTCAGTCTTACCTACCCAAGAGACTTTAAGAGCGCCTATACGTGAGCAGTGAGGCTGCTCTGACATGCTGTAATTATAGCATGTCAGAGCAGACTCAATTAACCAGGTCTGCTGGAGCATGGTCATTATTGCAGTCCAGCAGATTCCAGCTTCTCAAATATATCAGCGTCCCTATGCTGTATAATGGTGGTGGGGGCGCTTTATCTAAAGCTCATTCGAGAAGCTTTAGTTAAAGAGCCCCTGCCACCATTTTTCAGCACAGGGACGCTGATACATGAGACACTCTGGGAGCTTTAATTAGAGCAGCTTTCAGAGCACTCCTGGAGCATGTGTATAAACCCCCTAAAACCCCAGCTGCTCTAGCCTAGCTCCTACAACTAATCCAACCTAGCTCCTATGGCTGGGTTGCATGGGGCTACTTCTGCCATGACAAAGAGTCCAGGGGAGGGGGGCACCATTCCAGTGCCCCCTGGAATGTCAGTTCCTGGGATTGTTGCTTCTTTTGCCCCTTCCCTCCCTAGTTAAGCTGCTGTGCACTGCTTGCTTTTGCTGTACAGGGAGATCAGACAAGTCTAAGGGCCTTTACATTAAAAAATGATATAGATTGAAATATGCCTAAAACACCTTTGTTCCATTTAGATTTTTTTCAACACTTCAGCTAAGGAGTGTGGAGTCATAACAACACACAACTTATGGTCAGCAAGGAGTTCTTTTGAGATTGTAACCAGGCCAAGAAAACTGCCAGTAGCTAATCTCCATGACTAACCTTAAGTAAACAAAGTTCTGGATCACAGTGCCTGACTTGGATAGATTTCCTCTGGTCTTCTGGGTCTGTGAGTCTGGATTTTAGTGTCAGATTGTGGAAAAGGAGGTGTGGCCTGAAGGCAACTTGATGCATCACAGAGCAATTTGCAGGGTTAGAGCACACAAATTTCAGTAAGGGCAACTTTCACTTGTAAAAGCTGAGTGCTTTAGTTATCATGAACCAAATCCTGTAGACAAAATCCTAGAACTTTTCCTTGAAGTCAGCAGCCATGTGCATGAGTAAGGACTAAGATCAGCTCTGTCAGGGTTCCAGCATTTAGCTCTTCTGAGAACAGAGGCTGCAACAGATAGAAGCCATACTAATGCTTTTTCCATCCAGTTGTCTGAACACTTTTACTCTGCCTAGCTGATAGAGCTGTGTTATCTGAGCATTGATTTCCATCCAGTCCTTTGATATTTTCATTACCATTGCAGTGTTAGTGATAGAATGAGGTCTTTTAGGAAAAAAAATGTTTAAGCCACATTCTTTTCTGGTTGTGCTATTTATTTCTTGCCCATCTGTATTTTAATAATAAATTATTTGACATTTATAGAACCTCAAGTCATGTCTACATGGTCAAAGGACCTCACTAGCAAGTGCTGCAGTGAAATTTGGCATGCCTGTTTCGTGCATGCTGCATCCTGAAATAGATGTAATGTACCTGCCTTAGTGTGTCGCTGGATGCATGCCAGACAACGCTTCAGAGCAGGGTTATTGATGCATGTCCAGAGCTGCACTAAGGCAGCTCTGTTAGCTCCATTTTGTGGGTGTAGCATGTGCATAGCAGGCATGTTTCATTATAGTGCTCTCCCAGGCAGTTCTTTGAGGACATCAAGCATGCCCAAAGAATGCTATCTACTTTACTAACCAGCAAGAGGAGGAGACTGGTGCCTTGAGTTTACAATCTAAAGCAATGGTTATCGGGCTTTTTAGACTTGAGGCACCCCTGGACAGACTCGAGGCACCCCTCAGAAAATGCCAGCACTTAGTTTTTATTTTTTCTTTCTGGTTACAGAAAAATAATAGAGTGATTCTTTTGTTGTGAAGAACTCAGAAAGATCACAACAGGTCAGACTTTTTAACACTATGGATTCCTGTGTGAAAACTCTGGGTTTATTTTGTGAATAATTTTTGCACACCTAGCAGCATTAACATTGTGCTGCATACCATGGCTCTCTTGAAAGGATCTCAAGGCACCCCAAGGTCCCACAGCATCTTGGTTGAGAATCTAAAGGCTATAAACAAACATCCTATTTGTCCCTGGAGAACCATTTTATCCTGAGACAATGTGCAGTTGTTCAGACACCCATGTCCTGTGTAGGAGGGTGCTGTTAAACCCCATTACTTAGAGACCCAGGGAAGTGGCCACCTGAGAGCGGGGGCTGGGGGAAGGTGGAATGATGGTATTAAACATCAGCTGCGGGGAGTCACTCACCTGCAAAGAGCTGAGAAGATCAGCACTGGATGTCAGGCCACGAAGATAAAAATAGGAAACTAGAAGAACAAAGCCAGAAGGGCACCGGAGAGAGAGAGAACCCACAGTGAGAGGCAAGACTGCCCAGCCCAGAAATGCCAGAGAGGAACCCCGTTTCCACAACAGGTGAGATACCCACAAGGAAGGTTGGAATTCTTATTACGTACTAGGTTGAGCAGCCACAGCAGAGATCCAATCACCTGTAGAAGATAAGGGAAGGAATTAAACAGTGAGTTGGCCATGAGGCATCTACGGGGCTTATGGGACGGTTAGAAGCTGGGAAATTTGTGTGCTTATTACCTTTGTCTCGGAGCAGGAAAATCCCAATAAAGGAAGCAGCTTGTTAAATTAAAGCACCATGAGAACAGTTAATATGATTCCATTTGGGATTGATCTTTAATTTTTCTCCCATCAAAGGCATGGCAGGAAAGTGCCTGAACAGAGCAGAGCTTGATCCTAACCTTGTAACATCCTGGGACAAAATCTAAAAAGGTTTACAAGATAGAAAGTGCTAACAGTTTGTCTCAGGACATCATGGAATACATCTCAATGTTCATTCCCAGGATTTGTTCATTGAATCAGTAGCATAAAAGCAGCAGTACGTTGGGCTGTTCACTAAACCTGACTGGAAGAGGAATGCGTGTGTAGCAGAAAGCCCCCTCTTTCCTCTTGCCTGCATTTGCTCTCCCCTCTTTGGATATGTTTCTCTCTTTCTACCTTTTCTTCCTTCCTCTCTCTTTCACTTTAAGATAAGGAATTGTGTTTTAAAATGTGTGTGTGCGCATTTTGTATCTCCCCTTGTATTTTGGTATTTTTATCTATTTGTGTGCCATGGCATTTGTAGCTTATATTTTATACTCCTCACCTTTCAACTTTCAACTAAATGTATTTCGTTTCATAAGTAAGTTATACATTGTAACAATGTTAACAAGGGCAGGAATCAAACTGTCCTTCCCTGTATCAGGCTGGCCCCTGAAAGAGCAAGTGAATCAGTAATTGAATGTGTAACACTGTAGCAGCAGATAGCAATTAACACCTGGGACATTGCAGATCAACCAACAGAAAAATTCAATAGAAGACAATGTAACAACCGGGA